TCATCAAACTGTCCACACTCTACAGACAAAGGTGTCCAAAAGCAGGTGCTCAGTCAAAGTTCATTGTCCCTCTAACTCGCAGGGTTGAGAAAGACTTGAGTGTCATAACATGAGGCCCTCGGAAAAGGATCAAGTGCTGCTTGAATGAAGGCACCATCATCTCCATCTTCACATTCAGGGCCATTTACTCTGCTCCAGCTTGGCATGGGTACAAAAGAGTAACAATAGCTGACGGTTGTGTGTGTGTGATGTGTCTGGTGCTGCATAAATCTCATGTAATACTTATCACAACACCCTGCAGTAGGCATGATTCCACTCCTCACAGGCCACAACACTGAGGCATGAAGAGCTTAAGTAACTTGTTAGGACTGAAGCCTCGTTTCTCTGACCTCAGAGCCCACTCATTTAACCAGTTCCGAACTAAATGTGCATACTTTCTTGGTCTGGGCTCCTCAGTGAGCAGAGCCTGCGGCTGTGTGATGCTATTTTACCAGGAGTCACAACCCCTCAGAGCAGGAGCTGGGGAAAGGGAAGGAAGGAGAACAAGGCTGCATATGGAACTGGCCACCACTAACTGCTCTTGGTTTCAGGACTTTGGCCCTAACATGTCATATCAACTGCATCTCAGCGTGGAGCGAACAAGGGAAAAGTGTATCCCTGTGTCTCACCCTCTGTTGGTGAAATCAACAAGGAATCCCAGGGCTGGCAGTGAGCGGTGTGTGCATGAGCAGGTGAGCTACTGTCAGCTTGCACCTGAAGTCAGACTGTGCAGAGAGAGAGGACCTGAAGGGGTCTGTGAGAGGTCTCATACACAGACCATGGGATTGGATTTCCAAACGGAGCAAAAGTCAGAAACCACATGGAAGCCATCGAGGCTTGGAAACCATTGGTTGCTGTGGAAGAACCATCCCAGCTCTACCACAGGACTTAGAGGGGTACAAGGCTGTGTGTACGCACACTGACGTAAAACGGTCTCATGTAGCAATAAAACACGTCATTTCACCCACTCCTCTTCAACTGTGTAAACAGCTCAGACATCACCCCCCTCTGGAAGTCCTCCCCAATTCTCCAATGATTACATATAAAAACAAACAAACAAACAAAAACCACCAAATACCAGGTTCCCTGCTGGCTCTAGGAAAACTAGTCTTATTGAGAATAATGTGAACTGATCGGTCTTTGAGAAGAGTCATTCAAAACTGGGCAATCAGATATAAGAAAATAGTTTTGAGCAAAACAGACTCAACTGCAACCCATTGAAAAAGGTTCCCTAAGTTCGGATGTGTCCCGTGCATAGAGCCCGGCCACTGCCCTTTCCATCTTGTGTTGCAATTAGCTCTTTATGTGTCAGTCTTCCCCACTGGCCTGCGACATCCTTCAGGGAAGGGACTGATCTCATACATCTTTGAATCCTCAGCACTGGACGGTGTGGCCTCGCACCCATTAGATACTCAAGGGTGCTGTGTAAGGAAGGGGACCTTGGAGGTGTGCGGACCGTGAAGGCCTGGAACAGCCCCTGTGGGCAAGGTGAAAGTGAACCAACCAGAGAATCAGGGACGAGAGTTCAGGCAGTGCCATGAGCCCACCGGGTTTGGAGGCTGTGACGTTGTGGTGGCAGCCATCTATCTACCTGTGGGACTCAATTCACCAGCAAGTAACTGGAGAGGAAAGGGAGACTGTGAGCCAGATGGCACAGGTTTTGATGAGTGTCATGACCAGGAGGTCAGAAGGTGATCATTTGACAGGATGTTAGATGGCATTTCCTGTTGTCTGAGAGTCTCAGCGGAGATCCTGATCCAAAGATAACAGGTTATAAATGTTCACAGACTCAAAGAGAGGTGGTATCAGACACCTATATCTAATACTTGCTAAGAGGCGAGGGAAAAGAAGTACTTAATATACTATCCATCTCTAGGCTATAAAAGAAAGAAGAAAGCATTTATCATTGAGAAATTATTTAAAGAAAGTTGTCCTTCTGGGGAAGAGCATCGTGGGATTTCCCCTCACCTTTTCAGGGAAGAAAGGAGGTTCATGGTCACTACCCTCGAGCCAAAAGAGGGGCTCTCTTGGCCCAGTAGCTCTACAAGGCTTGCAATTGTCAGAATTCCAAGATGACCACCCCACACCCCCTCCCCGACCCCAATGGCGCATACCCTGTATAAGCTCCCTTTGAGTGTGGGTGAGACATGCAGGTATAATGAGGTATCCCTCCCATGACTATATTACATTATATTACAAAAGGGGCTTTTGAAGATGTGGTTAAAATCCCCTAGGACTGGTTGGCTTCCTCTAAGGGACGATCATCCTGGGTGAGCCCGACCTGGTCAGGTAAATTCTTTAAAAGGCGGCTAATGGTCTGAGAGGTGTTCTCGGTTCTCTGGAAGAAAGCAGACAGCTGTGTTGGGAACGGTGGGGCCACATGGCAAGGCACTGTGTGTGGCCTCTAGAAGCAGAGACCAGCCCATAGCCTTCTGATCCAGGGTTTCTCAACCCAAGGCAATTGGACCCCTCTCCCCAGGGACATTGCTGAGCATCCTCCAATGCACAGAACAGCCCCACAACAAAGAACTATACGGCTAACATGGCACTGGTGGGTCCGAGGTTCAGAAATCTTCTCTAAGCCTCCTGTCCCTGCCCTCGTGAGCCAGAGGCAGGAAGAGGGGCCCTAAAGGACCAGAAAAGATCTCTCATCTCCTCTGTGACGCCCTCCTGCAGAACCCCAGATCAATCCCAGGACGGGAGAGAGCAAGCTTTGAATAGAAAGAGATGTAAATATTGATGGGACTTTTTCATACCTTCCCCCTCTCCCCCAATGAGACTGCCCCGTTAACCACAAGTGATCAGGAAAGCTCTGGGAGTCTGCGATACCTCAGGGGAGGGCCAGGGGAATGCAGCTGCGGCATTTAAAGTCAGTTGGTAGAGAAACAATTAAGGGATTTCCTGAGAGCCTCCTACTGGGTCCAGCTAGTTTAATATGGCCGTTATAAGGTAACAGGGTCAGAGAGAAGATGGTTGGGTGAATGGCACGCACCTCAAGGGGCAGGGGTTTTGCCAGAAGGTGGAAGTCCCATCGCTTTAGGTCAGGTTCTCTAGAAGCAGAGCCCAAGGCAGTGATCCTTGTGCAAGAGGGTCAGTAAAGGGATGGGCCCCAAGAACGCCCTCCTGTGACTTGCCCAGAGGGGCCTGAGATTTCGCATTTTTAGCGAATGAGCCGGTGATGCTGAGGCTGCCGGCCCAGGGACCACACTTTGGGACCCAGGGACGTAGGGCAGTTCTCAGAGAGGAGCAGTTGTGAGCCGTCAGCGGCCAACGCTTGGAGGGGCCAGGAGATGGGATGGGAATCAGGAACCAAGGCATGTGGGGAGTGGGAAAACCCCAATGGGGCTGCAGGGGAATCCGGGTCCCAGGAGAAGGCCAGCTTCCTGCTCTGGCAAAGAAAGGGAGAAACCTCTCAGAAAACAGGTTGTTCCAGGCCAAGAGCACCTGCCTGGACTGAGGGTGAGAGGGGACCTAGGAAGCTGCCGTTTCCGCAGTGGGACTTGGTTCCCAGGTACTTTGGGGAGGAATCTAACGTTTAGAGGTCAGTATTTTCCTACAGCATAGCCCCTGAATATAGGGCAGATACTTCATCCGGCATTTCAGCAGGAGAAATGGCACTGCTCCAAGTGCTGGGGACAACCTGTTATATTGTTCTCCAATGTAGTACATTCTGAGGTGACTTGCAAGGGTCCGTGTATAGATAATAGGATTTTTGCCTTAAATTCTGGTATCACAGACGTCACTTTACTATACACCTGTATTCATTTCCTTTTGCTCTTGTGACAAATTACTGCAAACTTGGTGGCTTAACACAACGGGAATTTACTCTCCCACAGTTCTGGAGGCAAGAACTCCAAAATCTGTTTGACTGGACCAAAATCAAGGTGTCATCAGGCCTGAGCTCCCTTCAGATGCTCTCAGGGTGAATCTAATCCTTGCCTCTTCCAGGTTCTGGTAGCTGCCAGCACTCCTTGGCTTGTAGCTGCATCATTACAGTCTCTGCCCCCATGGTCACACTGCCTTTAGTGTGTATCAAATCTCCCTCTGCTTCCTTCTTAGGAGAACATTTGCATTTAGGGTTCATCTGGATAATTCAGTTTAATCTCCGTATCTCAAGACCTTTTAATTAATCATATCTGCAAAGTTTTTTTGTTTTGTTTTTTTTTGTTTTGTTTTTGCCATGTAAGGTGACATTCAAGGATGTCAGGAATTAGAATATGAATATATTTGGGGCCATTATTCAAGCTACCAAAAAAACCATTAAAACTTTGAGAGAGAGAGAGAGAGAGAGAGAGAGAGAGAGAGAGAGAGAGAGAATTAGAAAAACATCACAGGTGAGACCACGCTGTGGTTTGATTTGGGTACCATTGAGCCAACGCAGCTAAGTTCATAGATACAAACTAACTGATCTCCAGAGGGAAGAAACCAGTCTGCTCAACAGGCTTTATAATCTGCTTTGAACACACCAGGTGGATCTCCAATTGCAATGTTTCCCACGCTTTAACTTAACAAAGCCAGTCCTAGCTCCCCTCCTCTCCATGTGTTGTTTTCAGTAAATACACATTTGGTCTCGTGCGAATGAGGAACATGCCTCACGCCCTGTTTCAGGATCCATGTATCCGGTCCCATTTGCCTGAATCCACCCCCAACCCACCCTCGCTGGTTCTTCAAGTGCTTTCAGAAACAATCAGTTTTGCTGACACATGAAATCCAATTTTCCAAGTTTCCTCCAGCCAGTAGAAGCCAGAAACTGCCTTCCATCCAAAGATAAGGATTGCATGTCTCCATGCATATTGTCAAATGTGCTTGACAAAGAGAATAAAAAGATGGAAAACTGGCTCTCAGGCATATAATAACCAACATATTTTTATTCTCTAAATGAAAAGGAAGAGATGCTTAACTGGTGCTATGTAAATACAATAAAACTTTTCTTACATTTAGAAGATTATATTCAGAATGCGTGCATGGAGAAGACCAGAAGGTGCTAAAACCTCCCTATTTACATGAGGCACTTATATCAGTTGAAGAAAGTTCCAGAGAGTTCCGGTTATATCCCCATTTTCTTTTACTGGTGTGAAGAATAATGTGAAAGAATGCAGATCTTGCAAAACTTCTGATTGCTACTCATTTGAATTCAGAATTGTTGTTTTAGAAGCAGCTAGGTCAAGGTCAAGCTTTCATGCAGGAGCTGAGTGGAAGAAAAGAAATGGCTAAATGTGTGTAGCTCGAGTTAGTGCTAAGAAACCCACCATAATAACCACGAACACCACAATAAACAGAAAAGAGAGAGTAATCCTAGAACAATAGCAATAATCTTAGAATAATAGAGACAGAGTAGTCATGGATTTATACTCCCACCACTGACCAGCCCTTACCTACCTGTCGATCCGTGTCTCCTGTTTGTACCTACCTGGAGCCATATTAATATTAAACACCCCTTCCCCAGGAATACCTACCCCATTTTTGCTCTACACTGACCAAAATCTAACCATAGTTCTAGCTCTACTTTTTCTTTAAAGTCTTCCAGCTTATGCTGACACACACACACACACACAGAGTATTTCATAGAATTGTATCAATTGTTTTTAAGTGTATCATACACTCCTTTGTATTATTTAATTACAAGGATTACCACGTAGGTGATGAAGAGGAAGTAAACCTGTTACCACCCTCACAGGGTTGAGATCCCATTCCTAGACCCATCACTGGAGAGCAGCAACCCCTCCCCTCACCCTCTCCCCCTCTCTTCCTCCACATCCCCCCTCCCCCCTGTAACGGCTGGGAGGAGGGCATGGACAGAGTCAGCGCCTGATTACTGGCTGAAACCTGAGCCTAAGACTTTTGAAGCCTTGACAATGTGCGTGGAAACAAGAATTGCATTGCAAAGCCTGGTGTTGTACAAGAAGTAGCGAGTTGCACACACTTTTCTTGGTTCTGCAAAAGCTACCTGGACGGTGCACTTACAAACGTAGGAACAAAATCCGAAGAAGAAAAGAAAAGGCCTTTGAGACTGGCTGTAAGGGGCGAGGGGCCAAAGCTACACCAGGTGGTGATGTCTGTGTGGTAGGCAGGTGCAGCCCTGCGCCTGGGTGGAGCAGCTTCACCATCATTCGCACTGGACTGGCCCTCCTAGAAAGGTGGCTTTGGGGGGCATCCCTGGCAAGTAAAGACTGCTGGAAAGCACACAACAGAACTCATCCAACTTGAGGTTTCAAAGAGTGGAGCCCAGAAGATGAATCCTAACTGTCTACGCCAGTTGTATCCATCCTAGCCTGACACCCAGTTCTGACCATGAGATGTGACAGGAAATCTCCTGGTGTATGGGGTGGTGGAGGGGTGACACCTGTGCCCCACTTTTTCTGCTTCTGTTCACTCCTTCCTGCTTTAAATCATGATGTCTAGACATGTGACGGCACCCTTATGGCCACTAGGTGACTCATACAAGGACAAAAAGCCAACACAGAGGATGTCGCAGTTGAAAGGTGCAAAGAGCCTGAGCTACAGATAACTGTCGAGCCAATTTCAAACCTAGAATTGCCTTCTTCCAGGCTTTGTTATATGAGAAAATTAAGTATCTTTATTACTAACGCTATTTCTCAGTGGGTATGCTGATGCTCGCAGCCAAATGTATCCTAAACGACAGAGCACGTCGTGTTTGTCACTGAGCATATCAGCAGCAGCATCCATGCTGGGAAGACTTGACCAGCGGACCAAAGCGAAAGAACTTGGGTGAATTTTCCCCGAACAAATACGAGACAAGTTTCTAGGGGCTCTTAGAAGCATGGCCATGGTTCTTATAGAGATAGTTGGGGCTCAAAGTCATCACAGTCTACCCCTAATATAAATAGGATTTTAATTGAACTCACAGGCTAGAAAGTTACGGAGGGCAGACTAGGACAGTCATAGCTCCCACAGGATTTAGTTGATTATACTAATTGAGTTGTCTGTCTCGGTGCTACTCATAGTGCCAGTCTGCATCGAGACAAGGAGGTGGCACCAGAATGTAACCCAACCTTCTGCTTCCTCCCTTCATCGAGAAGTCTTGCCACTGGGAAGGAGAGGGGCACTGAGCTAAACTGTGCTTAGTGATGTAGTTAATTGACATTAGGCAACAAGTTCTTTATCTCCTTGCTAATTGGCAACAGTTTGCAGATCTATAACTGGTGCACAAACCACACCGGCTAGTAAGTTACAGCTCAGTACATGGGCAGCCTGCATGTAATTTACAAGGAAAGGAATCCCATGCTTCTACTCTGAAACCTACTTCAGTAATCACAGTGGAAGACTTCTATATATCTGAATGTGCTGGCTACCAAATTATGGTACTTTTGAAATTTTCTCAAATACTAAGCGTATCTGTACGTATTATTGCCTGCTTCAACCAGGTGGTTGGGAGTAAAGAAATTTCATGTTTTGTATGGCTTCCCACTCGATCTTTCAAATATACCCCAATATAGAACAGGTTAAAAAAGATATATATATATATATATATATATATATATATATATATATATATATATATATATATATAAAATTTCTGTGGTATTATTTAGAGATTACATTCAGCAATAACATTTGGAAACTCTAAAGGAAAAAAAAAATCAGTGGCTAAACAAATTAAGGGTTTTGTTTTACTCACATAAGGAATCTGAAGTTAGATGGGTTCCGGGTTGGTATAGTGACTCTCTGATGCCATCAGGTCCCAGGTCGCCGTCTTTCTGTTTAACTGTCCTTAGATGTTGCTTCATGGTCTTGGCTTGGCTATTTTATTGTCAGATTCCTATTCCTATTCCAGGCAGGAAGAAAAGGAAGGGCAAATAGCACAAGGCACATGGTAGCAATGCTGACCTCTGTTAGAGAGTTGTAGTAAATGGTCCCCCAAGGAACCTCTACTTCTGTATCTCCTTGACCAGAATGTTGAGGCATGGCCACTGTGGTTGCAAGGAAACTGAAGAGCGCGCACACACACACACACGTTTTGTTAACACCTTGTGTTAGTTTGCTAGGACTGCCATAACAAAGTACCACAATCTGAGGGGTTTAAATAACTGGACTTTATTTTCTCACAGCGCTGGAAGCTGGAAGTCTGAGATCAAGCTGTCTGCAAGATTGGTTTCTCCTGAGGTCTCCCCTTGGTTCGTAGGTGACTGTCTTCTCACTGTGTCTTCGCATGGTCTTTCCTTTGTGTGTATCTGTGTTCACGTTTCCTCTTCTAAGGACACCAGTCATATTGGACTAGGGCCCATCCTAGTGACCTCATTTAACCTTCATTGCCTTTTTAATTATTCTGTCTCCAAACACAGTGACCTTGTGAAGTATTGGGGATTAGGACTTCAACTTGAGAATTTTTAAGGGACACAATTCAGCCCACAACACCCTTCCAAACATAATCAGGGCCCTGTTTGTAAGAAAAAAGGAGGACATTGATAAAATTTGATCTCTCAAAAAATTATTAGTTGCAGTGGTAGGCACTGCAATATCTGCCAAACCTACTATATTGCTTGATTTTCTTTAAAGAAACAAGAAAGCTTGAAAATTGCCTCAATTCAGTTTAAATATTTATAAACATGATGTATGATGTGGACCATATGGCTATAACAAAAGATCTGCTTACTTATTTCAGATATTGAATTTTTCTTATAATAAAAGACTTTTTCCGCCAAAACCGGTTTGGCTCAGTGGATAGAGCGTCGGCCTGCGGACTGAAAGGTCCCAGGTTCGATTCCGGTCGAGGGCATGTACCTGGGTTGCGAGCACATCCCCAGTAGGAGATGGGCAGGAGGAGGCTGATCGATGTTTCTCTCTCATCGATGTTTCTAACTCTCTATCTCTCTCCCTTCCTCTCTGTAAAAAATCAATAAAATATATTTTTTAAAAAATAAAATAAAATAAAAGACTTTCTCCAGTTGCCATAAACTACTCTAGGAATGCTCTGGAAGACACCAGTAGGTGTCCATTATGTTGAACAGCACTTATCACAAATGAAGGAGAATCTACTTTTTTGAGGACTACTGTTGCTAATGTTTGCCAAGGCCTTTATAATTCAAATTAAAATTAAGCAGGGCCAATTCTTTCTCCCTAACGTTTTAGGGTCAGAAGATTTTTATCTCTCAATCATTACATGAATTAAGCACACATCCTTGACGTGGTTAATATCTGTTCTTTTGTTTTTGTTAGACTATTCATCATATCAATTACATAAACATCAGAAGAAGCTACTTGTAATGTTATCCTTCAAAAGCTTGGGGAATTGCTACATCTTATAAAAAGTTTAAGAAATCATCTGTTAGGCAAAATTCTTTTGATTTGCTTTGATATACCTATCTATATAACTATACATACATCACCGTTCAAAAATGCCTTCTTTAAAAGTGTAAACTTGGCGATGTTTAGTACATTCACAGAATTGTGCAACCATCACCCTATCTAATCCCAGAATGCCTAAAACCACAAAAACCAGCTCCATTCCCATTAGTAACCAGGCCCTAGTCCCCTCCTCCAGCCTCGGTAACCACTAATCTACCTTCTATTTCTGCTTATTCTGGACATTTCATATAAATGGAATCATACAATATGTGGCCTTTTGTGTCTAGATTATTTCTTTTTCTTTTTTTTTTTTGGTCATAAAATTTAATTATGGTTTAGAAAAAAATTGAGTGAATTACTTTTCTGAAAAAATATATTGAATCTGTGTAGATTGCAGTTATGAGGGGGTGGGAAGGCTGGTAAGTTCAATTACCTATTTTCTATTCTGAAAATCACAAAACGTCCTACTTCCAGTCTGATTATAGAGATGGCTGTGCCCAAAATGGCTGAGAATAAATACCACAAGAAAGGCAAAAGCTGCAAAGCGAGGGCACGTTATGGACTCTAAGAGAAAGTCTCAGAAATACCCAATGTGGCGACAAAGAACATTTGGCTGCAATCTGGAGTTCTTTTCAGTCATCCTTATCTTTTGCTCCATGTTTAAGGATGCGTGTGAACTCAATGTAATTGACATTTCCCTTTTTGTCAATAGGCGCTTCTCTGTACAGCTCATCCACGTCCTCATCTGCAAACCGGTCTCCTGTTGTTGTCAGCAGCTCTCTCAGGTACTCTTCCTGAATGGTGCCAGTTGCTTCTTCATCAAAGCAAGCAAAAGCATTTCTGATGACATCTTCTGGATCTGTGCCATTTAGCTTCTCACCAAACATCGCGAGGAACATGGTAAAATTTATGGGACCTGGAGCCTCATTCATCATGGCATCTAGATACTCATCAGTTGGATTTTTTCCCAGGGAGGCAAGCATATCATGCAAATCTTCCTTGTCAATGAAACCATCTCTGTTCTGATCAATCATGTTGAAGGCCTCTTTAAACTCTTGAATCTGTGACTGGTCAAACACGGCGAACACATTGGATGTTGCGCGCTGGGGGCGCTTCTCGGTGGTCTTGGTCTTTGCCCTTTTGCTCGACATGGCGGTGGTTAGTTCCCTGCACCGCCGAAAGAGCCGAGCGCTTCAGTGACCTCCCCGCTGCCCTCGCTGCCCCTATCGTGTCTAGATCATTTCACTTCCCAGTATGTTCAAGCTCCCCCCATGTTGTCCCACGCATCAGCCCTTGACTCCTTCCTTTGACTATTTATGGCAGTAGCTTTCCTCTCCCTGGCTCTCTACATTCTCTACTCTACAACCAAGGTGATATTTCTCAAATGCATTGCTTTTTTTTCTTCCCATTTTTTTTCCTTTTTAACCTTTAAACATACTTCACCCATTTATCCTACCCCCAACCCCCTACCTCTGGTAACCACCAATTTGTTCTTTGCATTTATAATCTTGGTTTTCCTTTTCCCTTGTGTTGTGTTTAGATTCCACATGTAAAAGAAATCATACAGTATTTGTCTTTATCTGACTTATGTCACATAACATAATGCCCAGGTCCATCCATGTTGATCCAAATGGCAAGATTTTATTCTATTTATGGCTAACTAATATTCCATTGTGTATATACTACAATTTATTTAACCATCCATCCATCAATGGACACATAGGTTGTTTCCGTATCTTGGCTCTTGTAAATAATGCTGTGATGAACATGGAGGTACATATATCTTCTAAGTTAGTGTCTTTGTTTTTTTGGATAAAATGTTCCTTTTTATGCCTAGGTGCTATGCCATTGTACAAATCTTGCTTTGATTTTAAGATTTAATTACTATCAATGATTCAGTATTAGTTCTCTGATTCCCTGGAGAGGCAAAGAAAACCACCTTGCAATTCTCACCCCAGCTATCTTGAGTCCTTATGGACCTCAGTTGTGCCATCTACAAAATAAAATATTTTTTCCTATAACCTTTAAAGGACCAATTTCTAAGAGTTTCCATTGAGCCCTATGGTTATTTTTGCCTGCATTAAAAGGAAATCTGCAGACATATGCTTCAATTTTATTTAAACTAGATTTTTCCCTACAAGACATACACATTTTATTGAATGTTCCTTTATTTTTTCATTATTTTCAAAGAGCTAAGCATTCAGAAGCATTTAACTTTACATATGGATAGATTTGGAAATAACCAGGCTAGGGGACAAAGACATAAAACCAGAAGAGCTATGAAAAAAATTTAGTTCCCCTGGAAATTATCCATTGAAGGATAAATACTCATGTGACCTAGTTGTGCCTGGCGAATGAAAAAAGAGGATACTGCTTTGAGTATTCTAATCCTGGGCTTTTAATGAGGGAGGAATTTATCATGCAAACATCTATTCAGTAATGTATGCCACTTCTATTTGTGAGCACATCTGGCTCAGAAATAGAAGAATCTAGTGTTAGACCCACCTGCAAATTCCCCAATCTATACAAAAAAAGACAAACCACACCCATTACGCCTAATAACAAATTCTTTCTGCATCTGGTTAAACTGAGCTTTAAAAAGGATGCTTGTTATCATCTTGTGTATTCTCAGTCCAAAATATCTCTCTTTCATCCCATTCAAAGGAGATTCTGTGAGTGGGAGTTGAGAGTGTAGATGTCAGAATTGGTTAAGCCACCATTATATGTTTTATAGTGAGAAAAAAAATTAAAAGCAGCTGGGTGAGGAGTAAATAAATGTGGAATATCTGTGTATATATATAAATGAAAATAAAGGGGTTTGAAAGAATATAGAACAAATGGTTAATATGGCTAGAATGCTTTAGTAAGATACACATGAGGCAGATAAAGTCAAGGACTGCTACTTCAGTGAAGATTCTGGGAATCCAGTAGGTAGAATATCTACTCAGAAAAGTGAAGGAAAAGATGCTGGACTTTGGACCTCTTCCCACCAAGAAATGCCTAATGGACCTCCTGGGATGTGGAGATAATACATACCACATTTAAGTGCATGGTTCCCATCCCTTTACTAAGGGATTCTCAAGGTCGCCTGCTTTGCTAGGAGCTGAAAGAGAAGCTCTCCTCTTGGTCTGGGCGAGTATGTGTCTCTTACAACACTATGTTCAGTGAAGTTGGAGACATCTGTGGCAGATATGAAAAGCTGCATTTGAAGAACCACTGCACAGGCTCCTAAGATTCATAGGAAGCCATGAACCCTCCTTAAGAAGACAACAGCATGGCTCAGTGATTGAACAGGAGGTCATGGTTCAATTCCTAGTGAGGGCACATGCTCGGGTTGCAGGCTCAATCCTCGTAGGGGCATGCAGCAGGCAGCCGATCAATGATGTTTCTATCCTTCTCTCATCATTGATGTTTCTATCCTTTTCTCCCTCTCCCTTTATCTCTCTGAAATCAACAGAAACATTTTTTTAAAAGGTATACTCCAAGTGCAGGTATCATCAAATTCTTACTATTGATTGGTCTTTTCAATGTACTTCATGCTGGACTGCCTGTACCTGGTTGGCTTCCTTTCAGGCTATTTTCAACTCCTCTTTACTCTAAATATTAACATGTAGCTTTCATTTTTAAAGCTGTCTAATATGGCCCTAGCTGGTTTGGCTCAGTGGATAGAGTGTCGGCCTTCAGACTGTAGGGTCCTGGTTTGATTGCGGTCAAGGGCACATGCCCGGGTTTTGGGCTCAATCCCCAGTGGTGTGTGTGTGTGTGTGTGTGTGTGTGTGTGTGCAGGAGGCAGCTGATCAATGATTCTCTCTCATCATTGATGTTTCTATCTCTTTCCCTCTCCCTTTCTCTCTGAAATCAATAAAAATATATTTTAAAAATAAAATAAAGCTAAGATAAGTATGTCTAAGAACATATAGTGCTATAATGAAAAGCACCATATGAGATATGAGTGCATTTTACATGGGCTTTAAAGGATAGATATGATCTCAACAGATACATGAGGACCACAGGTGGCATTCACTACAGGAGGATGAGGATGAAAAGGTACAGAGACTGGAAAGTACAAAGTGTTTTCCACACCTAGATACCCTTTGGTCCTAAATAAATAATGCTACCGATTGTTAAAGGGGGTATATTAAAACACAATATGTAGGTACACAGTTGTTAATTTTGGAGAATGCAATAGCCTTGACTTAGGTAAGCCACCCATCAATCAGAAAAGGTTACACCTAAAAAAATACCTCATGACTTTTTCTAGACTGTTTAGCTGTAACGTTATTGGTCAAGTGTATTGTTTAACACGCACCCAATAAAAAAAAGGAGTCATTTGCTTTTTTGACAAAAAGCTATTATCAGGACATAGGTATGAAATCTGAGGCATCTCTAATAATCACACTATGAATACTATTCCTGGGGAAGATATGGCCACTGCACCCACATGTCCCATTCAAATGGCTTCTAGAATCTAGTCTTCCCAGCAAAATGTGGCAAAATGATACACTTGACCTTAACTATGAGGAAGCTTGAAAAACAGTCTCCTCTCCAAGAATAGTTGGGACAGCAATTCCTCTGGTAACATAGAAATGATTATTAATACTGCCTCTTTAATATCACTTAATGTTTGGCTTGGGGAGAAACTCATGTGCTTTCTCACATGGGCTAGATGGTCTCTAAGGTCAGTGCCAGCTCAAATTATATAATTGAAGATATTTAAAGGTACGTGACTGTCTGTAATCAAAAAGGTCATTAAGATATATGTTGCCCTTTAACAACCAATGGATTTATGAAATCAGGTAAAACTCTCCACACCAGAAAATATACTTTGTTTTGAAAGCAACAACATTCAGCCAAATTCCAGATATTAGTGAAGCTGACCAATATCTTTTAACACTTTATAAGTGGGACTTTCCTCTAGCAGCAAATTTCACATTTTCATCCAAGTCCTTTCTTGGTTATATTTCACAGTAAAATGTTGCAAAGCACCCAGTTCCCAGCCTGTTTTTGGATGTTACCAATTGATCAACACAGGAGTGGTGTTCATCTCAGTAGTGAGATTCTGCTGGGCAGGAAATACCTAGTAGCAAGGCAAACCAACACACTAAAACCGTTATGTCTGGTAGTTAAGATCTATTAGATGCTCTGAGTTTCAAAAATAAATCTTCTGCAAATTACCAATAGGACAGTTTCCAGAGAGAGCCCTCGTTCTCCGTTTACTGTGACTTCTTCCTGGCCCGCTTTTAGAGTAATCTGGTGGCATCCCCTTCAGGGCATGGAGGAAGCATGCTGCTTATAAATCTAGTTTTTAACATATTTCACGTGAAGATCCCCACTGCTCTGCTCTGAATGCTAAATTATGCTATAATTTAAAGGAGGCTTCAGGGAACACCAACATTATTAACTAACTGCATAGAGTAAACACTATAAAATTCCAACTGTGTTTAAGTTAAAAACAATTTTGCCTGCAACTGGAAGGCATCCTGACAAATTCTGGTTTAGTTAACACAAGCAGAGAAGTCAACAAGATACTCCTAGAGTCTCGTATCTCTCATCCGTGAACTTTCCCTCATGTTGTTCATCCTAAATAGAATCCCATAGAACTGTCTCTTTTCTCAGTCACAAGCTAAATATGTTTAAAGGCAGCTCAAAGTCGGAAGGGATGTGTGTGTGTGTGTGTGTGTGTGTGTGTGTGTGTGTGTGTGTGTATGACCCTGTAACTGCCATGGGCCTGGCTTTCCTGACATGGGAACCTGGCTGCCTTCTTGTTGTGTCCTCACCTGGAGGGGAGGCAGATCTCTCTCTCTCTCTCTCTCTCTCTCTCTCTCTCTCTCGCTCTCGCTCTCGCTCTCGCTCTCGCTCTCTCTCTCTTCTGTTTTATACTAGTAAATCCACAATTCTATTAGATTAGGGACCCACCCTTATGAACCCATTTAACCTTAATTACCTCCTAAAGGCCCTCCGTCCAGACATACTGTTCTTGGGAGTTGAGGAGCTGCAATATGTGAGTTTGGCAGGACACAATTCAGTCCACAGCCCTGGGAAATGTAGCAGCTTGCCACCGCCACCCAGTTGTGCAACAGAAAGGGCAAGAAATGGGTCTGAGGGCCACAGGACAAGTACAGGCACACTCCTCACAAGACCACAAGGAAGGTGTTGTCATTCTTACTTTACAAATTAAAAAGTAGGGGCA